CAAACAAGTCGACTTTTCTTTGTCAAAAAGATGCAGGTACTTTCCTTGACTAATTTCTGATTTATTTAAAACCTGTGATCATTGCCACAACGTAATGAAACATACAGGGTTGTTTTCTACGATGTGTTGGTGAAATACTGAGCTGTGTGGCTTTGGCAGCTGTGATTGTGGTTTGTTGTCTTTGGAAACATGCTGATGTGCTGTATTGATCCATTCAGTAAAGAATGAGTGGATCAATACCAGTAAACTGAAACACAACACCAGGACATCACACATTGCATCTGTGATTGTGTTGTATGCATTTTATTTACCAACACAATATTTGGTTATTAAATATATAATAATTGAATATTCTAAATAATATACTGTAAATCACTCAAGCAGTTTGTTTGCAGTATATTTCATCAAACATCCTGAAGTCGGCACAGAGATGAGGAAGTGAGAAAGTGTCTTTCTTTTACAAGTATTGACACTCATTTCAGTGTATATACAGTATACCACGAGGAAATGCCATCTGGTCCTAGGCTCACAGTGACTCTCACTATCTCTCCCACTAAAAGGTTTGTGTTTGCTTAAGGGTGGTGAGGAACTGCTCTGCCCTAGCGTGCTACAAGAAACATCTGCACTCTGCAACCTCTCTTAAGAGAAATATCAAACACAGTTTTAGCAGCTTTGAAATGAGAAAGAAATCATGAATCTTGAATAGAAAATGAAAGTGGTCATTACTCGTGTTCGCCCTTTGGTCAATAATGAATCCTGAAAATCAGGCGTTCATTTACCAGCTCATTTATATGGAAATGAATGGTCCCTGAAGGAATAGCCCCGCCTCTCTGGCACTGACTTCCTCCACTTGACTCAATTACCAGTGGTCCCACAGACAGCAATGAATTCTTAATTGGAAATTGATTAAAAAAATAACTTTTTCTGGCTTCACTTTGCTTCTAAACTCTGCTCCTGCACTTTTATCAAATCACCCCACAGGTATTAATTGGGCCGCAGTGACTTAACAGATTGGTGGGTGGTCTGAGTCTGTGTTAATCAGCTCAGTTGGGGGGGAAGTAATTATAAAAGTTACAGCTGGAATGTGTCTGACTGAGTTTGTGGTTTCATGTGCTTATTTCCAACTGGTCAATATGTTTCTATTTTATATTAAAACACTTAATATTTCATTTACAAGGTACACAGTACATAAAAACGTAAAAAACGTACGTAAATAACAAGCTTGTTATGTTATTCATTTCCGAAGCAGAACTTCCACATCTAATGGCCTCTGCAGACTTGGAGAGTCAGTGTACTGAAATCAGCAGCAACTCCCACTTCTCCAATCAATGAATTAAAATTTCTAAAATAAGTATAAGTAAATGAAAATTGAAATTGATTTATTTATTTCATCTTGCACGCTTATCATTGGGATTTTGTATGCAACAACGTGACATGAAATGATTCAAAACAACTTGTAGAACCTCTCCTTTCGCTCAACTTGTATTTTGCTGGTGCCCCCATGTTAGATGTATATTTAGTTATGTGAGACTTCTTAGAAACCTTCTCTTACTATCTTTCTTTTCCTTTTCTATTTATTTTCTTTTTTTATTGTATCGCATTTAAATTGTGAAACCACCAGTGCCACAAACCTTGTTTACAGTAGGTTATAGCTTTTCTTTTCAAAATTTTAGAAATAGTGAGATCGGGAGTCCAAGTACCCTTAGCACATCACGCATCCACGTAAAATCCTGACCAGATGCCAGATCTTTGAATATTTTAGTTACTTGGATTTTTAAGATTTCATTTACTCAGTGAAATGTGCCTGAATACTGCTAATAATTATGCCGGAAATATTCTGAATCCTACAATTTTTTTGTTAATCTAAAATATATCAAATGCACAGTGAATATGTTCAGTCAGGAAATACTAGAATCCATCTAATACCAACAGTGTGTTGGTTTATTTGAACTGTGAAGTGCACTCTCTGCATGTTCCTTGAACCCCAAATTCCCAGAACAATTATAGAGGACATGACCTCTCTATGTCCTGGCTGCAATCCACTCAGCCTGTCCTGTAGAAGGGGAAGTGTAATTGCTATCTTTAAATGTGCAAGTGGGGTATTCTCTTCATCTAGTGTAAATGTACACAGATCCTGAAACATTCAGTATCTGAGCTGCCTTGTATGTCTGACACAGATTTACAATTTTGAAGTATTGTTATGATTATTTCTATCATATACTTCTTCCACTCCAGTGCATTTCAGAGAGAAATACTGCACTTCTTTAATAGATTTAGCTGATGCCTATAGTTCCAACCAAATGTAGTTTAAGAGTTTCCATGCAAAACATATTGTCTTATAAATATGATAGCTCTTTGAATTTACCTTAGTGCGTCATTGCCCCAAAGGGTTCTAGGCAGTCCTGACTATTTGTCATTTACAATCACATAAGATCTTGGCCTTAATCAATAGTCATCAACTGTACTTGGCCTTGGTGTGTGTGTGCGTTTTCACAAATTCCTTCTGACCTAAAATTGTTTCGACAGACTTTCAATTACATCTGTTCTTAAAAATGAATCAGCCTCCGCAAATCATTTCTGAGACGAAGCTGACTGAGGACAGCGCCTGCATTCCCATGATACAGAGGTCACTTGTGGGACCATTGTTCAAACCTAACCTTCTTCCTCAATCAGTAGTGAGTTATAACCATCGTAATGGCCTTCAGAACATCCTAAGATTGCTCTTGATTGCAACACATTTTGTGGCAAACGAGGAACAATATGGGAGACATTTAATAACTGAGAAAAACATGTATGACAATTGAAGTAATTGCACAAAGACCACAGATGCGACCTTGAGTAATACTCATTATCTCCTTTCCTAAATATTCCTGTTTTTTTTGTTTTACATCTGTTACATTGTTTTTTCTTCAGTGAAAGCCACAAATGATCTCTTGCCATAAATTAGCTAGCAGCCTAATTACCATGTACCATCCAGAACAAAGCTCATTGTGGGTGCATGTTTGTGCTGAACACAATATCAAGCTCGCTTTCTGCATTTTTGTCCATTCCCACATCGCTTGAAGTGTAGTAAATGGTGCACAAACATGGCACACGCACACATGGATACAAAGAACCACTACCTCTTTGTATCTCTTTAACAAAAAAACATTAAACGGAAATGATAGAACTGCTTTTGTGCGCAGCTTTGTGTAGCTTTACGTGGCTAGCCCTCAACCTCTTTTGTAAAAGGCCGCTGAGGTTGAGCCCCTGTGTATCGAGGAACAAGTACCATTTCCAATGGGCTGGTGTGTTAGTGTAATTACTTCATTTCAGCCCTGCCTTGAGACCTGCAGAGGAAACTGTACCTTGTACCTGGACAGAATACAATATCTTACCCACACCTAGCAGACAGTGAATTTGGATGTCTGCATGTCACGACTCAAAGTCAAAATCTTTTCAAACCCTCTCCAGCCGTATTGATTTTCCTTGCTCATTACCTAAATATATGGAATGGTCATCATAACGTATTGTAAAGACAATTATATTTCACATGTATTTACCTGGCCAGAATGTATCCAAGCATCAGCACACTGAAATTACAACCATTTAGAGCTGAGCAAAAGGAAAATAAGTAGAGTTTGATAATTGGGTTTGAAAGTGGGCTTATTTATATTTAAATAATATCTTTTTCATCTGTATTGCAGCCTGCAGGCACTGGCTCAGCATGGTACGTCTTTGTGTTGGTAGATTCCGGGACGCTCTGATATCTGAGACTTGAGTTGGTTGTAATCAAAGATGTGAGAAATTAAATTCACATTATGCCTTTCACAACATCCAAGTCTGTTTAGGTTTCCACATATAGTGCATCAATCTTGGCTGCCGAAAACATGCATTGAAATGCCTGTGAAAACAACTTTCATTGTGATGGAGCACCTCTCAAGCTTAAGTTTTAAGTCATCTCGGCAATCTATTATGTTCAGAAATGAATAGAAACCAATGGCGGCCTGGAATATGGGAAAGCAATCAAAACACTTACGGTAGGCTTTGGAAAATGGTTTGTGGTAATGTAAAGTGTATTTTCTTGGTGGTTATTGGACTAAAAATGCAAAGCCATGTTTTAGTCCATTAGGGTTTAAAGTTTTGTTAGTTGTCACTGTACAACACAGGGTTGTGCAACAAAATGCTGTTTGTAGTCCCATTTTTCTACATAATAAAAACGTACAAAAAAGCATATTATATGGTGGAGGGTGGGGGATGAATTTAGGAGTCTCACAGCCTGAGGAAAGAAGCTGCCCTGAAGTCTGGTGGTATGGAAGCCGATACTTCTGTAACGCTTGCCAGAAGGCAGCAGAGTGAACATGTTGTGGCTGTTTAATACCTTTGCAGGCACCTCTTGTCACCAATATCACTGACGCTCGGCAAATGGGCGCCAGTGATATTCTGGGCAATTTTAATCACCCACTGTAGAGCCCTCCTGTCCTGGGCCGTGCATCTTTGTAAAAGTTAACAAGCACAGGATTCTTGCCCTCTTAAGTTTCCTTTTTTTCACCAGGATGGAGATGTGTGATGTTTATGTCAGGGTGTTTGTGATACGGATCCCAGGAACTTCAAACTGTTCACCTGCTCCACCTCAGTTCCCTTGATGTAGACATAGGTGTGTGTCTTTACCTCCCTGGTTTTACTGACGTTGAGCAGTAGGTTGTTCTCTGAGCACCATCTGGTGAGAGTGTATAAGTGTAAGTATAAGTTTTTCTGTAGCTGCAGTTGAGGTCAATACAATCTGTGGGGACCTATGGGACCTTAGCCCTAAACTAACCTAAATATCTCAGTGCACTTTTAACGTGGATGTAAGCAAGTCCAGTGCATTGTAGCACCTAAAACAAGCAGATTATATTGTTGATGTTTGGTTTTTTTTTTACAAAGAGAGAAAAAACTAACATACAGCATAACATGAAAAGCTCTTTGGACAGAGAGAGAGAGAGAGAGAGAGAGAGAGAGAGAGGTGGTGGGAGGCGGGGCTGGCTGGTCATGGTTTTTCTGCACCGTGGACAGCTCCCGTCTCCTGTCTCCGGTCTGCAGAGAAGCGACGCCAAAACACAGCTGGATGATAGGAAAAAAAACCCGACTCACATCCATCCACAGATTAACCTCCAGCTCACACCGTCATCACAAAGTCTTCTTTTCGTCTCTCGGATGGTTGAGTTGTCTCGTTTATTCAGCCTGACTGTGGAGTCCATCTGCGTTTAACTGCATTGCCTCTGCGTCTTCGGTCCGTTTCCTGTTACTGGCAACCACAACGCTGTAAAAGTGCTTTTTTGGAAGGGGGTGGGGGGGGGGGTGGGGGGGGGGAGGTGGAGTGGATCGACCTGCTCGAAGTTCCTTTGATCTGTCCACTTCTGTCCGATACGTCTAAACGTCGCTGCTCGGCTAACCCTGATTATGTTGAGGTGTGGGATTCCTCTCCGTGCCCGGGAGTGCACGTTACTTTAGGATGCAGAGGGAACATGAAGTTGAGTAGTTTCAGTTCCGTCGGTGCAAGCTCAGATATGAGATAGGCGACCTGCATCTGCAACATTTGGCTGTGATCCTCAGATCAGAGTGGCTCAGGCGAATTCATTTTTTTGTGGACAACAGCCAGATAACAAGATGAGGTGCCTCTATGACTTTTTAAATTGCACGTAAGAGAGAGAAGCCGAGTGGGTATTTTACCCTGCTGCTGCTGCAGGGAGCGACGTTCTCTTTCTCCAGCTGGCCAAACGAGTTGGGAATTTGCATCAGAGAGGAGACCGTGAACTCTGGGGGAAACAAAGAAGACAGAGCGGTCCTCTTTCTCTCCTCCCCTTACATACAGAAGTACGATAGAAAATGAAGAAGTTTCGGAAGGTATTGGACGGCTTGACCACCTCCTCTCCTGGCGGGACTATCGGATCCCCATCGTGCGGCAGCGCGGCCGGGACTCCCACAGCGACGCCAACGAAGGAAATCGACGTCCAGGAGACGCTAGTGTCGGAAAACTTTCAGCTGTGTAAGGTGGGTAAATAAAAGGGTTTGCTTGTTTTAGGCCACCAACCCCCGACTAAGGACTGAGGTCCTCAGGCACTAGACTAACACCATGCAACAGCTTGGATTCTGGCTTCCCCAAATCCTGATTCGCATATGCGATGTTTGCGAACACAATTATGTCTGGCGCCGATGCAGGCATTAATGAAGTGGAGAGGGACCGTAAAAGTTGGATCTGGAATGAGCTCATCTGCTTGTTGACAGTTCAGCACCACGGGCAGCTCCTGTTTTACAATTCTACTGAGCATGGAGGCAATTTTAGACAAAACAGCAGAGAGAGAGAGAGAGAGAGAGAGAGAGAGAGAGAGAGAGAGAGAGAAGCCAGATAAAAGCTGGTTCTTGTTAGCTTTAGTGGCTTTTTGTTGTAGCCCCTTAACGGCAATGGCTTAGCCCCCGCAGACACGTGTGCACGGCAGGCAGAAGATGACAAGTGTGTGCCGTTTTAGGTTGACTCCAGCTGTTTAGCTGGAGTACATGCGCCCCCCCCATCAGCATGCTGTTTAGGCTGCAGTAGCCTGCACACATGTGATATAAACAAACCAAAGGCAGTCGATGAATAGTTGCATCAGCAAGCAGGCAGGAATGGTGTAGGAGCGATGACATAACTGGTGTCCCTCCCTTGCATAAGAAAAAAAAAGTGCAAAGCAAGCCAGCGGAGGGACCCTGCAGTAGATGTCCTAGCTGATGTGCTTTTCACATGAGAAGGAGGAAGAATGAGGGAGGGATGTGAATGGTTGGTGGGGGGGGTGGGGGGTATTTATAGCAGCCTCTGCTGCCCATTGCAGCCCTTTTTCTGGATGAATTTTAGAGCTGACTGCAGTTATTATTCCTCACCCTAAAAGAAACAGGGTGGATTTTAGATACGTACAACTGTGAATAATTCATTGAGAACCCACGAGAAATTATTATTGGGCAGACCGACACTAGTGGAGGGGGGGGTTGTGTTCATGGAGATGGTGGAGGAGAAGGAGGGAGGTTGATTCATAAGCAAAGGATGCTGCAGAGCACCCTTGGCAGGCAGGCAGGCAGACTGGGAGGAGAAAGTGCTGGAAAAGAACAGCATGATTCCCTGGTCCCATGCAGGAAGCTGCTCCTCCTTCAGTGAGTGGCTTAATACATGGTTGATTTTAAAGACACTGGGTCAACAGAGACCCTCATGAAAAAAGCTAAAACACACATGTGTACAAATATGCCCTCCATTCCCACCACCATGACATTTCTTCTCAGGGTTTTTATTTGAGTCTGTGCAGCCGGTGCAGGTTGTCTGTATTTGTGTGTGAGGGTGTGTGTGTGTGTGTGTGTGTGTGAAAAGGAGTGAGAGACAGGCACAGAGGGAGAGGGAGGGAAGAGGCTGTATAGCTGCACCTGTTACTGTATGTCTGTCAATTTCTTTTCCTGGTGCAGACAGGGTTCAAGGTGGGACGAACAGTTATGCGTGTTATTGATCCTCTGTATTGTCACATTTTAGCCACTATGTCCATCACATATCTATTATCCTTTGCTAAAAATATATTTGTTTTGGGCCTTGATCTCAGTGACAACCTTGTGCTTGACAATATTGCTTACGTTAGGCATAGCTTTAAAAACATGTTAAAAATGATGGAACACTATCTTAAAGTATTTTGATGGATGTGTGAAAAGAAGTCTGTCTTGTTATTGCCTCTCTCATCGGCTACTCCAGCTTTCTGATGTTATGCCGAGCAGAATGGGGGATGTGGACATGCACACACACACAGAGATCTTAAGAACCATCTAGTGTCTCCTGTGACCTTCTCCCTCTTTCATTAAGCAATGAAATATGTGCGTACCATGCGCATCAGAAACCGGTTAGTTCCCAGTCATGTTTAAAGGAAATATATGTAAATGCAGAGGTGTTGGATTATGCAAATAAGCATGTTTCCTGAATGTATATCCAACACGCATGAGCCCAAATCTGGTCAGTAGTCAACAATAAACAATGACAGATACATTTTTCTTTTATTTCATATGAACACAGAAGAGGGAAATAGAACACAATAACCTACATTTTCCATTTCCAAGTATTGCCCCAGCTATTTCTAGACTGGATCTTCTAACAGGGGTATAAATCTGTGAGCGTGTGCAGTGTGTGTGGGAGGCTTTGGCATCTTGGCTAACTTCTCAAAGTTAGTCATGACTCCTGTCCTCACTGTGCCGTGTGGGAAGATGCAACAACTCATTTTGTTTTAGATTCTACAGCATTTTGATGTGCTTATAGTGAATAATGCTGTAGCATCCATTAGCAGAGGTGCTGAAACAAGGTTCTGGTGAAATCTCATTTGGACTGAAGAAGTAAAGGAGGGAATGTATTGGTTAATTTCAGTTGACAGCAAAATTAATTAATTGTGTGTTCGAGAGAGAAAGTGGTAGAAACAGTCTCTCTCCCAAAAGAGAGGGAGAGAGACTGAACTGATCTGTCTGTTGTTTCTGTGTCTGTTACTTTTGTGACCAAACAATAGCTTCCTCACCAACCCCATTATTTCTGAATGTAGATTAATTAACAAAGAAAAGATATTATTGTCGTCGGCGTTCCCCATGTCAATGTTCATTTGGCATTATGATGTAATGGAGCTAAAGAGGAGGACAGAAGAAAGGCAGGATGATAAATGATGTTGAGGCCAAGCAGATTATATACTGGTTTGCATTTCTCAAAATACCCTGACGGAATGAAGACGGCCCTTTTAGGTTCAGTTTCATTGAAAACCAACTTGCCAACTTTCCCTCCATTTTAAAATAAGAATTAAATTTGTTTCTTGTCAAACCCAAAAACAGAAGTGGTTGCAACAAAATACTCTTCAAACATTCATGTCCCAGAAAAGTAAAACATGAATGATCTAAACTAAAAACTAGAATACAAACAGCACTTTCCCTCTGGCTAAAACTACAGTACAGCTACCCAAACAAGCGGAGCCCAATAACAGGAAACTACCCCTACTCAAAAATAGCCTAGCAAAACTGCAGAGTTTCCATACGATTCTGAACTATGTTGAGTTTTGGGGACTGAAATTTCTGTATATAAAACTTGCAGACCCAAAAGGGGAACTTACAAAAAGAAAACTTACAGTATGCAGCAGGTATGTAAGTGAAAATACTCTGACAGGGAGGGAGGTCAGAGCGTATGACCAGACAGCAAGGGCACAAATATGCAAATAAAGGCTCAGAACTAAAGTTGTATGCGTCAAGTTGTCTCAGAAAACTTTACAAGCCTTGAACTGGGGTGGGCTAATTCAGTGAATGCCACATTGGGTTGTCTTACTGAGTGACTAACCACTAGGAAACATTGCACAATCCTGATCTATGGTGCCACATGCTGAGGACAGGATCAGGATTTGGCATAAACAGCTTGAATCATGGATCCGTTCTGTCTTCTGGCTAATTAATGCTAATCATTGATGGTAAATGGTGAATGGACTTGCATCTATACAGAGTCTTACTAGTCTTCCTACCAATACATGTCAACATTCACCCATTCACACACACATTCATACACTGATGGCAGAGGCTGCCATGCAAGGTGCCATCTGATAATCAGGCCCTAAATGAATGCACATTCACACATTGGTGTCTTCGGGAGCAATTTGGGGGTTCACTATCAAGGACACTTGGACACTTGAACTGGAAGTGCCTGGAATCAATCTGCCAATCTTCCATTAGTGGACAACCCACCCTACCTCTGAGCCGCAGTTCTTTATTTGTTTTCACTCACAGCCTCATAGTTCAAAGTTATTTGCATTCAGGTATTCCTGTTCAATCTTTTCGCCGCAAAATGTGAAACAACAGAAATAGAGGAGAGGAAATTAGGGACATATTCCAAAAAGCATATGATTATACTGCCCTCAAAAATGAATAAAAAAAAACAATAAACAGTAGAAGTACAGAATGTTTGCAATGCAAATTCTAACATTTAATTTTCACCTATTGTTTGAGGATTTCAAAATAAATACTGATATGCTTAAAGCTGTTATTATTTATTTTTTTCAGCAACTTGGACGTGAAAGCGGTCACTTGTAGTGAGTGATGAACCCACTGATGAGTATCAACCGACTCGCTTTTCTTTTTAGAGTCTTATTGTTTTGGTATTCAAGCAGCAACTGATTTATTTCTTTCAAGCAGCTGTTTTTAGCAAAAAGAAACTAAAGAAACACTGTACACTACCTGCTCAACACCGACTGTCACACAGATTTACAACTAACATTATGAAGCAGCTAAAAAGGCAATGTTTTGCGAATAAGTTCACCATATAAACTTAAAACAGTGAAGTCAATGTTGTGCTCACAAGTTGTTCTTGCAAAGGGCTGAAAAGGGCTGGTTTCCATATTCATTAAGTGCTAGTTGTAGCTGTGAAGAACACGGTTCTAACCCCCTTAAGACAAGATTTCTGAATATACTCTTAGTCAACGAGGAATGTAAGCCGATGTGACAAAATATGTTTTGTAAATGTTGCCTCAAGCTGACAGAAGAGCATACACTTAAATGCATCTTTGGTTTGTGACTTATATTGATGCAGAAGTAGTACAAACTATGCCAGGATCCTTCAACAATCAGGTGTGCAATCTGTGACTGCACTGTAATAAGACACTTGTAAAATTGTTACATGTCCACTGCAAACCTTGCAAAAGTACAGAAGCTATGAAAGCTCAGTGCCTACACTGCATAGATAAAGCATTTTTTAAAATACAAAGTCAAAGGCAACGGAACATAATGCATAAGTGTTAGAGTATTTTAGGAGACAAATGCTCTTCAGTGTCGATGTCAAACACTTTGTAAGCCCAAACATCCACAGAGAAATCTTCCCTAAGAGGTTTTGCGTTGCTCTAACAATCACATCACACTACTTTCACCTTTGCTTCTTTGAGAGAAGAATCATTATTTCCACGACCATATGATCACTTTTCAGGAAAATATTAAAGGTGTTGTTTTGCTGGTGGTCTCAAGTATCTGCAGTTGGATCT